ACAGGCGTGAGCCGTTGTACCGGCCTTAAATAGCTTTCAAAATAGCATGGTGACCAGGTGTGGTGGCTCACACCTATAATCCTAGCACTTTGGGAGGCCGAGGTGAGAGGACTGCCTGATCCCACAGGTTCAAAACCAGCCTGGGTAACTTAGCGAGACCTCATCTAAAAAAAAAAAAAATTAGCCAGGCATGGTGACATGTGCCTATAGTTGCAGCTACTTGGAAAGCTGAGGCAGAAGGATCACCTGAGCCCAGCAGGCTGAGGCTGTGATAGCCATGCACGTGCCACCGCACTCCAGCCTGGGCAACAGAGTGAGACTCCAACTCAAAAAAACAAACAAAAAAAGACATGATCAATAATCATCTCCATAGCATCTCAGAGGAGGGTGATGAGTGCAGGGGGTGGGAATGCCTGGCTGACCGTCTGCTGTGTTCTACGAGCGTTTATACGCGGTGTTCATTTTCACAACCCCCTGCAGAGCAGCCTGTGACCCTCACCCTGCAGATGGTCAGGCAGCCTCAGTGACAGAGGCATATGGCCAAGGACACACAGCTGGCATGAGGAATCAGCAGGGTTGAACCCCAGGCTGTCTGGTCCCCAGGGACAATATCTGTGGTTAGACTTTGCAGCCTTTAAACTCAGATCTGCCTCGAATAGATAAATATCACTGAGGGAGACACGTCAGCATTTTGGGCCGTGCTTATCTGGAGAAAAGCAAGTCAGGACAAAGGGTGACCAGGCGGTAGAGGCCACACAAAGGATTCAGGACGGGGACTCAGGAGGAGCCCAAGAGCATGGACGTGGTCGTGTTGGGGTACATGGATCACCAGTGCATTCTTTAAAACACACACACACACACACACACACACACACACACATACACACACACGCACACACGCTTTTCCTCTTAGGCTGTTTCAGCATGGTCTTAACAAATAGAATTGAGAATGGAAAAAGAAGATAGCATTAGGCAAAACCTATCAATCTCTAAAACACTGCAGCTGTGACTGATGAAGCTCTCTGCTTTGGGAAAGAAAGCTGTTCACATGTGCAGAAGTCAGATTTGCCTCATCTCAGGCTGGTTTTCATATTCACATGATGCTCTGAGCCATCTCAGAGAGTGGCCGTGGGGAGAGAACAGAATTTCGACAAGGATGCTTGGACTTCCTGGACCACCACTTAGCTGTGTGTCCTCAGGAAAGTGCACTGTCCTCTCTATGCCGTTTCCTTATCTGTGACTTGGTACTGTAGCATTTGCTTGACAGGGTTACTGTGAAGGTCAGATGAACTCGTGTGTGAGAGGACTTGCTAGCTGTCTCCTGCCACACTAATGTTGGTAGTGATCACTCATTAGTGATTACTTAATATTAGTAATATGAATGTTACTCATCAGAATTACTCAGCAAACATCTCCTAAAGCTGCCTCCCAAAAAATCACTCAGCTACAGGCACTAGTTCAGGACGTTTATTTTTTAACTAATATACTTTATTTTTTTGGAGAAGTTTTAGTTTCACAGCAAAATGAACCAGAAGTTATAACATTCCCCGTGCCCCTTGTCCCCCAACACACACAGCCTCCCCCACCATCCACATCTGGCTCAGCTCACTTTTATTTTAATTTTTTTATTTTTTTGAGTTGGAGTCTCACTCTGTCACCCAGACTGGAGTGCAGTGGCCGCTCCCGGCCACCGCAGCCTCAACCTGCTGGGCTCCAGAGATCCTTCCACCTCAACCTTCCAAGTAGCTGGAACTACAGGCGCACACTACCACGCTCGGCTCGTTTTTTTGACTTTATTGTAGAGACGAGGTCTCGCCAAGTTCCCCGGGCGGGTCTCGAACCCATGGGCTCAGGCAATCCTCTTGCCTCGGCCTCCCAAAGTGCTGGGATTACAGGCTGAGCCTCCAAGCCCAGCCTCAGCTCGCTTTTATTGAGTGCCTACTATGTGCTGGCGTTGAAGAGCTCTTGGATTCAGAAAAGGAAGCCTGCTTTTTCCAGCAAGGCTCCACAGTGGCCTCGCCAGTCTCTGATGATGGTGGACTAAGCATTTCTACCTCCCCATGCAGCACAGAGCAATGACTTGAAGCCACAGTTAAAATCACAGGCTTAAAATGCTGGGGAGGATGCGGAGAAAAGGGAGCCCTTCTGCAGTGTTGGTGGGCGTGCACGCTAGCGCAGCTGCTATGGAAAGCAGTATAGAGGTTCCTCAGAGAACTGCAGGGAAATGCCGTATGGTCCGGCAGTCCCCCATCAGGGCATTCACCTAGAAGAATGGAAGTCTGTCCAGGAGACATCACACCCGTGTTTACTGCAATCTACCCACAACAGCCAAGATGTGGAATCAGCCTGGGTATCCATCCGCAGATGAAAGGATAAAGAAGATGTGATGTGTATACCTGCTCGAGTACTCCTCAGCCCTGAAAAAGAATGAAATCCTGACATACCCAGCAACCTGGATGGAACTGGAGGTCATTAAGTGAAACAAGTCAGGCACAGCGAGTTAGACACCTGGTGGAGCCTAAAAGAGGTTGATCTCATGGAAGTAACAAGCAGAACATAATAGTGGAGACTGTGAAGGTGGGGAGAGATTTGTTAAAGGATACAAAATTTCAACCAGATAGGAGGAATAAACTCTAGTGTTCTGTACCACATAGGATGACTGCAGTTAACAGTAACATGTTACGTAGTTTCAAATAGCTGGATGCATATTGAATGTTCTCAGCACAAAGAACCACAAATGTCTGTGGCAGTGGGTATGCCAATTACCCCAACCTGATCACTGTATACATTGTGTGTATTGAAGCATCACTGTGTATTCCAAGAGTATGTACAGTGATTACTTGTCAATTAAAAAAATTAAATTAAACTTTAGAAATTTGAAAAATAAGAAACTAGAAAGTGAAGACCCAACACAACCAAAATGAAGAAAATAATAAATTGAGAACAGAAAAATAGAGAAAATCAATGAGACTGAACACAGGTTCTTTGGAAAGATAAAGATTGATAAACTTCTAGCTGAAGACCAAGAAGAAAAAAGAGAAGAAAAAAAGTGGGCTTAGAAGCTTCTAGAGCAAGCCTGTGCATCCCAGCAGCCTCCAGAGCGCCCAGCCCTGTTGGGACTCATCCAGGGACACCACATAGAACCATGGAAGAGGCCAGCGCTCCAGCCTGGAGAAGCAGTCCTGGACTTTTTAATCATCTCCATAGCATCTCAGAGGCAGGTGATGAGCTGACTGAGATAGCATGGCCTTGGTCTCTGACTCTGCTGCGCTCCTGGCTTCAGGCCCCTGGGTAAATTTCTTCCCTTCTCCAGGCTCAGGATTCGACCTCCTGGGCTCAGAAGATCCTCCTGCCTCAACCTCCCAAGTAGCTGAGACTACAGTCATGCACCACCCGGCTAATTTTTTAAAATTATTTTTGTAGATACAGATTCTCTCTGTGTTGCCAAGGCTGGTTTCTAACTCCTGGGTTTAAGCAGTCCTTTCGCCTCAACCTCCCAAAGTGCCGGGATTACAGGCGTGAGCCACCACACTCGGCCCAGAAATATTTGATGATAGCATTAATGACTCCCTGGGCCCAGCTCCCACCCATAAAGGAGTACCGCGAGCTGGTATCCGTATGGCGGACGTAAAGGTGAAGCCCTAAAACGTTATGTCAGTTTCCCAGAACCAGACAGGGGAGGTAAGCAGCAGATGCTTGTGACTTTTAAGTCCTTGAAATGTTGGAGATGTTGAAGAGTCCTTGAAATGTTGGAGCACAATGAAAGAGTCTTCTCTGGGGGACTCCTCCCCATCGCCTTCCACCCCACAGTGGCCCAGACCTTCCTCTCCTGACACCGCCTTATAGTTATGCACTCACTTTCCAGTCCCTTCTCAGGACCGTGAGTCTTTCCTTGGTTGTCCATCCAGCACAGAACCAGACACAAACCTGTCTGTCGAGCCAACCTGGGGAATCCCTCACGGTCAGGGAAGTATGATGGCTTCATAGGCACAAGTCGAACCGGATTGATCGGGCCTCAGCGGCACATCCCTTAACCTGGTAATTCTGAGGAAACAGGATTACCCACTGTCCGTGGCTTTGAGGGTACTGTTCAGACATCAGGACCTGAGGCCAGAGACCCCAGGAAAATGAGAAGGGTCTCCCCCAACTCTGAACTTTCACAGATCTGGTGGCTGTGGGTGTAAAGAATTGTTTTTTTGTTTTTGTTTTTTAGTTGGAGTCTCACTTTGTCGCCCAGGCTGAAGTGCAGTGGCACACTCACAGCCACCCCAGCATCCACCTGCTGGGCTCCAGAGGTCCTTCCACCTCAACCTTCCAAGTAGCCGGGTCTACAGGCACGCACTACCATGCCCGGCTAATTTTTTTACTTATTGTAGAGATGGGGTGTCGCCAGGTTGCCCAGGCTGGTCTTAAACCTTTGGGCTCAGGCAGTCCACTTGCCTCGACCTCCCAAAGTTCTGGGATGAGAGGCTGAGCCACTGAGCCCGGCCAAGAATTGTTTTCATGAGGTTTCTAGATCCAAGTGGAATTGCCTTCTTCATCAGTTTGAGTTGCATTTCTTTCTTTTTTATTTTTTCCTTTGAGTTGGAGTTAAACTGTCACCTAGGCTAGAGTGCGGCAGTACATTCATGGTTCACAGCAGCTTTGACCTCCTGGACTAGGTGATCCTTCTGCCTCAGCCTCCTGAGTAGCTGGGATTACAGGCATGCGCCTCCATGCACGGCTAATTTTTTTATTTTTTGTAGAGATGAGGTCTCACTTTGTTGCCCAGCCTAGTCTCAAACCTAGGCTCAAGCAGTTCTCTCACCCCCGCCTTCCAGAGTGCTGGGATTACAGGCATGGGCCACTGCATCTGGCCCAGCTTGGGTTTCTGAAAAGCTGACTGCAGTGAACTTTTTGCATATCCCATCACATATTTCACATAATTGCTTTAAAATGTCAGAGATGCATTTATTGTATTGTGAGAGGTTTTCTGTGTTTGGTTTTCTTTTGCCATCTAGATGCAGATGCTGGACAAGTTTCCCATGGAAGGAGGACAGAAGGACCCCAAGCAGAGGATCATTCCCTTCCTGCCAGGTGGGTGAGACGTGTGCTCTCAGACCAGGGCTCTGGGGGCTCTGCGTCTCCCAGATCTCAGGACAGTAAATCTGCTTGTCCTCGTCCATCAGGGACACAGTCCCCAGCACCTCAGCCCTTTGTAGATGTTAATGACTAAGACTGTGGGCTTTGGAATCAGGTGCTGCACCCTTCACTAGTTGCGTAAGCGTGGGAAGACCCTTCACCCTAGAATCCTCAGTTTCTCCCATCTCTACAATGGGGATAATTAGAACTTAGAATGTTTTTGTGGTGAGTGCGTTCTACCATTGTAGCTGCATTATTAATTTTCTATTCTTGAATAACAAATGGCCCCCACTTTAACAGTTTAAGACACCCATCTGTTATCTCCCAGTTCCATGAGTCAGGAGTCCAGGCAGCCTCGACGAGTTCTCTGTTTTTGATCCCTCAAGGCCAAAGTCAAGGTGCCAGGAGAGCGGAGCTCTCATCTGTACTTCCAGCCTCACTCAGATCACTGGCAGAATTCAGTTCATGGAGCTTTAGAATCAGGATCCTATTTCCTTGCTGGCTGCTAGCCGGGGACCCTCTCAGCTTCTAGAAGCTTCCTGCATTCCTCATCACATAAGCCCCTCCTCTGATACCCCCTTCTGCCACCAATTGGAGAAAGCTGTCTGTTCTTAAAGGCTCCCATGATGATTACCTGACTAATCCAGGATAATCTCCCTCTGTTAAGGGGCATGGGAGGGATAACACAGCTTATCACATACACAGGCTTGGGGAGTAGGGCAGGACATCCTCGGGCAGCGATTCTAGAAAGTGCCGGGCTCCGCGCCAGCTGTTGTGGAGGATTGAAGGCAGTTAGGGCCAGTCCCCGTTCTCAAGGCATTCGGTGCCCCCCCTTCCTTAAAAAGCGTAGTGAAAAGTCTTCAGCACCCAAAAGGGGGTCCTTGAGGGACGACTCTCCCAAACACAGTTATCATGAACATGGGAGACTTCTGTGACCACATGTGGGGTTTTCCCCACACGCCAAGCAGAGGACACCAGCTGGGTGTCCTCCAATTCAATTCCAACACTGTCTACCCGGAGACAGTGTCAGATCCCACAGGGTGAGGGCCCAGTCCCACAAGACTAGCCCCTCCCAGACACCGGCCGCAAGTCCCAACTTCCAGAACTTCTGACCAGCTTCAAGTTGAGGTTCCCATGACCCCCTCTTTGGTTTCGATTAAGTTGCAGGAGCAGCTCACAGAGCTCAGGGAAACACTTAGGATGGTGGAAGGGGTGGGGCTTCCATGGCCTCCTGGGGTGACCCCTTCCAGGAACCCCCACATGTTCGGCTGCTAGGAAGCTCCCCAAACCCAGTCTTCCTGGGTTTTTACGGAAGCTTTATGACATCATCACTCTTCCCCCCAGTGTATAGGGCGGGCCCTCTCCCCAGAGGGTTTTTAAAGAAACTTAATGACATCAGCCTTCCCTCCCCCAGTGTATAGGGTGGGACTCTCTCTGGGGAGGGTTTTTATGGAAGCTTCATGTCATCCCTCCTCTCCACCCAGTGTATAGGGTGGGGCCCTTTCTGGGGAGGGACTTTTTTTCTTTTTTTTTTTTTGGAGTCAGAATCTCGCTCTGTTGCCCAGACTGGAGTACAGTGGCATGCTCACCACCACTGTATCCTTGACCTGCTGGGCTGCAGCGATCCTTCCGTCTTCAGCCTTCCAAGTAGCTGAAACCACAGGCACATGTCACCACACCCAGCTAATTTTTTTTATTTATTGTAGAGACGAGGTCTCGCCAAGTTGCCCAGGCCAGGCTCCAGCAATCCTCTCGCCTCTGCCTCCCACAGTGCTGAGATTACAGGCATGAGCCACCACACCTGGCCTGGGGAGGGTCTTAAGACCTATCATCAGATCAGAGTCCTGCCTTAGGGCAGGAGGACATCAGAGATTCTGCTTCTGAGACCTGCCCCTGAGACCCGACACACCCAACATTGTAACCAAAGACTGTAATCAGGGCTTTGGGGTTGTGAACCAGGAATGGGGCTGAAAGCCAATGTATATATCATAACCCCACTGAGAGTTCCCCAAACCAGAGTTACTGCTTCAAATAATATTAGCTGCCATTTATAGGCTGTCTCCACAGAACAACCCTCTAGCATAGGCAGCACTGTGCCCATTTCACAGATGAGAACACTGAACCTCAGAGAAACTATAAGATTCAAACATAGGGGAGGCCAGCTCTAAAATTCATGCCTGGAGTCAGCCAGCCTAGGTTCCAATCCCATGCTCCCTCACCAACTCTGTCTTCTGGGGTAAGTGACTTCAGTGCTTCATTTCTTCATTTGCAAATCAGAGGTAATAATGGCACTTGAGGATTCTGTAAACACCTGGCAGTTAGGGCTGTCCAGCACTTACCGTTTTTATTTTAAGGTACAGATAATCCGCCAACAGACAGTGCAAACCCTGAGGTGTAGGTATTTAGAGCTGGAAGGGGCCCTTGAGATCTTTTTCCTTTTTAGAGGAGGGAACAGGCCTCGAGATGAGGGGAGAGTCCCCAGGTCACACAAGAGCCCGTCTCTCACCCCCGGTCTGGGATGTCGGTGGGTTCTTCAGGGACCGTCATTGTAGCCCAGGTTCATGTGTTTGCCAGGCCCCCTCCACCCAGAGAATCCTTTGCCAGAAAAAACTAGCATAGTTCCTTCCCTGGGAAAGTACAACCATCCTGGAAATGTCTTTCTTGCAGAGAAACCAAGCGTGCCCATGGCTGCAGCCACAGTCCATGCTCAGAGCATGTGTATCAGAGTCAGACAGCCCTTGAGACCCCAAGCGGGTCACATTTCCCCTGCCCCCAGCCTCAGTTTCCACGTCTGTTAAACACAGGACAGGGACCCCTGCTTCACAAGACCCAACTCCAGGCGCTTAGCAGCTTCTCGGTAAAGGTAGAAACAACCCTTTGGAGTTTTTTGGTTTCATATGTTGGAGTCATCCTTCAATGACCATTCTGGATATTTAAGGTAAACTGGGCTTTCAATGTAGGTTTCTCTTCAAGAAAGGAAAGGAAAGCAGTGAGTTGCAGCTCTCCACTAGTTGAAAGGCAAAACCAGCTCTGGAAAAACTCCCCAAGTTGGGGAAGAACTCCAGCCGACCCTCTCCCAGGCCCTTAAAGGCTTTCTTGGTTACGTAATCGTCCTCCGCCCAAGAATTCATGAAAACGCTGTTGTGGGGGGACTCGGCCCCTTTGTCCCTGCTCAGGGCGCTCACTTGTAGCTTAGAGAGGCCCTGTTGGACCCCAGAACCCTGGTGCTCCCCTTGTGAGCCCACCCCTCACTTCTTCTGGAGGAGGGGAGCAGGGGAGCTCTCCGGGGGTCAGCTTTCTGAGACTGCCGCGTCAGCAGAACACAGGCGGGACCCGCTAGCAAGAGGCGGGGGTGGGAAGGCCTGCAGTTTCCACCCCAGCAGGAGCTGGGGAAGCCAACTTGGCTGAGGCACTCTTGAAAAGTGGGAATTACAGTTTGGCCTTCCTCCACGGTGGAAAACAAAGCCGTTCCCACTGTGGGCTGCTCTCTCCTCCCGACACCCTTTCCACCCTGGGAAGGTGGCCGCTCGCCCAGCTTCCCGAGATGCACAGAAACACTTTGCCCTGGGCACCAGAGAGGCGCTGGCCACGCGGTCCCTGCCCCATGGGTGGGGCCTGAGCAGTGACTCTGGCTCTGCTGAATTTCAGGGACAAATTAGCCCGCCAGTGGGGTTTGAGGAAAAGACAGTGTTCCTAAAGACAGCCTGTAACGCAGTGTCTTCTAAACTGCTGACTGATGAAGATAAGTCATTGCCCCTTTGTGAGCTCCTTCTAAGGGCCAGCCCTGTGCTGGGTGTGTCATGGAGATTACTCATCTCTCGTTGTGCAGATGAGAAGACTGAGGTTCTGGGAGCTCATGCACTCTCTCCCCGGTGAGCCAGGTGGTCTTCATCTCTGATGCAGGTGCTTTGCTGCTGTTTCCCCATGAGAGCATCCCTGTTTAGACTCTTGGGGCCATTGATTTTCTTTAAACAAACCTCGCCCACTACCCATCAGTGTCTTGTAACTTTCTGGAGATCTTCAGTGGCATCATATGTATACCTGCCTTTTCCTGTGATCCATGCTCTCTGCCCACATGTCACACAGGAGGTCGGTAGCCCAGTGCCCCCATGATGATTCTATCCAGGGGCAAGCAGCAAACTCTCAGCATTTGGTGAAACAGGAAGACTCAGGACTCTTCTGTTACAAACACTAATGGGGGAAGGAATTGGAGGGTTTTGTCACCTTTGCCAGCAGAAACCACATTCACACGTTTATCAAACACTAGTGCCACAGAATGAACTGAGGCCCAGTCGGTCCCTCTTGTGCAGCATGTGTGACCAATAAAAACAAAGTCCTATAAAAATTAGTAATGGAGCCAGGCTTGGTGGCTCAGCCTATATTCCCGTGCCTTTGGGAGGCTGAGGTGAGTGGATTGCCTGAGCCTGCGGGCTTGAGACCCGCCTAGGCAGCGAGACCTCATCTCTACAATAAATCAAAAAAATCAACCGGGCGTGGTAGCGCATGACCTGTAATTCCGGCTACTTGGAAGGCTGAGGTGGAAGGATCGCCGGAGCCCAGCAGGTCGAGGCTGCGGTGGCCGGAAGCAGCCACTGCACTCCAGTCTGGGCGACAGAGTGAGACTCCAACTCAAAAAAAAAAAAAAATTTAGTAATGGATGTGTATGATCCAAGAGAGATGGGAGCTTTTTATCTGGGGACATAAGACCGTCCTGGAAATGTGGTAGAGGTTGATGGGGAGGAGTCCAGGCAGAAGGGAAGGCACAGAGTGTGAAAGCATGGGCAGGCCTTTCCGACCTATGGCCATGGACCACATGCAACCCAGGACAGCTGGTCATGCGACCCCACAAAATCTTTTAGCATCATGTGTTTATTAGCATTTTGTGTGTGTTTGACCCCATGCATAGTTCCATTTCTGAAGTTCACAATCACACCTTATTCATGACATTGCCTTTTGGCAGCGCATACATTTGTGAGCAGCTGTTTTCAGTTATGAAGCACACGAAGAACAAAATTCGAACAAACATTTCTTATGAGCACCTTGAGAGCTCACCAAGAATTACAACCACTTCCAGTAAGCCAGACATTGATAGATTAGTTTTACAGAAACAAGGTCAAATTTCCCAGTGGTTTTATACTGTTCTTGTGTTTCTAAACTTTAAATAAAAAAACAATTAAAAATAGGCCGGGCTCAGTGGCCAGCCTGTAATCCCAGCACTTTGGGAGGCTGAGGCGAGTGGATTGTCTGAGCCCGTGGGTTCATGACCCAGCTGGGCAACTTGTCGAGACCAATTAGCTGGGTGTGGTAGCACATGCCTATAATTCCGGCTGCTTGGAAGACTGAAGCAGAAGGATCTCCGGAACCCAGCAGGTCGAGGCTGTGGTAGCTGGGAGCATGCCACTGCACTCCAGTCTGGGCGACAGAGTGAGACTTCAACTCAAAAAATAAATAAATAAAGTCTTAGGTCTATACACTGACTGTGCTGTATAGTTTATGAGTGGCCCAAGACAATTCCTCTTCACTTGATGCAGTCTGGGAAAGCCAAAAGGTTGAACATCCCTGAGAATGAAGATGTGGGAAACACGAGACAGAGAAGAAGGCAGAGGAGGAAGGGGAAGGGAGCCTGGCTCTTTGGAGAGGGAACACCTGTGCATGCACTTAGTGCTCCCCTAGTCAGGGTCCTGTGGTTGGGCGGGATCTCGCAACCTCAGGCTGACCTTAGTCGTCAAGTGGGAGCCCTTTTCCTCTAGGTTGTGTCCAGGCTCCCCATCTCCCCAAAACATGCTCCCTGGGCTGTTCCCCAAGCTCTTATCCATGGGGTTCTCTATCAGGGGTTTGACAGCACCACTCAGACCTACACAGGGATGGTCACTTCTACACCCTCCCCAGGCACTGAGGGCTGTCACTGCCCCCTGACACTGTGTGTGGTCTGGTCTTCCACAGGCAAGATCCTCTTCCGACGAAGCCACATCCGGGACGTAGCCGTCAAGCGCTTGATACCCATAGATGAGTACTGTAAGGTAAGGCTGAGAATTGCCAACTCCAGCCTCTCTGTGCGTGCTGTGTTTGTTTTCCTTTTCTGGCTACAAATGCTCATGGTGGAAAATTTGCATTGTTAAAAGAAACTAGGGGGAAAAAAATCACTCATGATCTCTGAACCCACAGAAAACAATTACTAAGGGTTTTGCACATTTCCATCCCTCCTTTTCTGTATGCTCATTTCTTGATGGTATAGTGATCATTCTGCACGTGGATTTTTGTTGTTGTTGCTCTTTCTCTTTTGTCCTGATGTGAGAATTTCCCCCATGCAATTAAAAAATCATCTGAGCCTACTCTTAATGGCTGCATAGTATTCCATTACACATGAATATCCCCAAAGCAATTTAACCAACCCTTTTTGAATAGTGCAGCTGCCTTCTATCCCTTGAATGACTTAAACAATTAGGGGCTTGCCTTTATATGAGACTATGGTCAGGAAAGAAGTTTTTGACTTTTCTTTTTTTGCTTCCCTTATCTTCAGTATTCATTTCTCCAACTCAAAATCACCGGCAGTTCTAATGGAACAGGGGTGTGAATAGCAAGAAATGCAGGCCTGGCATGGTGGCTCAGTCCTGTGATCCGAGCACTTTGGGAGGCCAAGATGGAAGAATTCCTTGAGCCCAGGAGTTCGAGATGACAATAAGTTATGATCACACCACTGCACTCCAGCCTGGGCGGCAGAATGAGACTTCCTCTAAAAAAATGAAACCAAGAAATACCTTCTTTTTTTTCTTTTGAGTTGGAGTCTCACTCTGCCACCCAGGCTGGAATGTAGTGGCGCAATCACGGCTCCCTGCAACCTCCTGGACTCAGACAATCCTCCCACTGCAGCCTACTGAGTAGCTGGGACTGCAGGCTCCCAGCACTACGCCTAGCTAGTGGAAAAGATGCTCAACATCGTTAGTCATTAAGGTACTACAAAATAAACCCATATTAAGAACCTATAGAGCCACTAGCATGCTTATAATCAGGGAGACAGACAGTACCAAGTGTTGGTGAGACCGTGGAGTAATCGGAGCCCTTGTTCTGCTGGGGACATCAGATGGGAAGCCACTTTGGAAAACAGTTTGGTAGTTTCTTCAGAGGTTAAACGTATCATAGAACCACTCAGGTTTATGCTCAAGAGAACTGAAAATTTAGTCTACCCAAAGACTTGGATGTAAATGTTCATAGCAACATTCATTCGTAATAGCCAAAAACTGGAAGCAGTCCACAAGTTCTTCACCTGGTGGATGGGTTTAGAAAATGCATAGTATCTGTACGGTAGAATATCACATGGCACGAAAAGCAGTGAAATCCTAGTAAACGCCACAAGCTGGATGAATCTCAGAAACAAGGTGCTAAGCCAGATGCAAAAGACCACATACTGTAGGGCCCCAGTTCTAGGAGGTGTGGCAGATATTTAGAGGCAGAAAGCAGCTTGGTGGTTGCCTGAGCCCGGTGGAGGTAGGCTCCAGGTGAGTTTGGGGGACATGTCTGAGGTGATAGAAAAGTTCTGAAACTAGATTGTCGTGATGGTGGCAAAACTCTGTAATTTAGTAAATATCATTGAATTGTGCAGTTATCATAGGTAAGTCTTATGGCATGTGAGTTATACTTCAATAAATCTGTTTAAAGCTTTTGTTTTTGAGTTGGAGTCTCACTCTGTCACCAAGGCTGGAGTGCAGTGGCACGCTCACAGCCACCCCAGCATCGAACTGCTGGGCTCCGGCAATCCTTCCACCTCAGTCTTCCAAGTAGCTGGAGCTACAGGTATGCACTACCATGCCCAGCCAATTTTTAAAATTTATTGTAGAGATGAGTTCTTGCCAAGTTGCCCAGGCTGGTCTCGAACCCATGGGCTCAGGCAATCCTCTTACCTCAGCCTCCCAAAATGCTGGGATTACAGGCTTGAGCTACTGCGCCTGGCCCTGTTAAACATTTTTAACAAAAGGAGGCAGTGTGGGGACAAGTGACCCCCCTCGTGGTAGGAGATGTCAGGGAAGGGCAGCGAACCACTTCTGATGGAGCATTGCCAGACGTGACCTCGTGTGATCCCTCCAACAACTTTGAGGAACGGCTTTTATTATTCCCATTCTGTAGATGAGGAAATGGAGACCCCACAAAGTGACTTGATATAACAGTATTGGAGGGTTTGAGGGCTGGACCCAGGCCTTTGATGCCTTGGCACTCACATATGCTTAGGACCTTGCTAAGAAAGTAGAAATGCAGGAGGCTGAAGTGCTCAAGCATGTCCTTCATAGAAGCAGATAAGTACAGACTCCTCTCTCTCTCCTAAGTGTATACTGACAAAAGGCTGGGCTAGGGGCACGAATAGCCATTCAGGTTCAAGGATATTGCTGCTGCCTCCCAGGTCTCAGGAAAGTCCAGCTCTTCTCTTCTTTGTCCCTTTCCAGACCTCCAGAGCATTAAATTCTCATTCTGGAGATGACCTTCCTCAGTCCAGACCCTACTGGAATGAAGCTTGGGGTCACCCAGTGCAGCTGGGAAGTTCCTAGTGGTACCTTCCCTAGAAGCTGCTCTCTTAGCCCAAGTTAGCCTGTTCTGCTTCCTCCCTAACCCTCCTGATTTCTCTCCAGAGTCAGGCTTTCTTCACACCCAGGGCTTCCACAGCTTCTGGGCTTCTGATTTTAGAAAGGAAATTTAGAATCCGGGAGAGATAAAAGGTAGCAGTGGCGGCCTGCATCTACTTGGTGCTCGGATAGAGAGAATGAATCCACGGGGACTAACCACGGAGAAGAAACTGCATATGTTACATGAGCCATGTCGAAGTCACCACCCCCTGCTAGTAACGAATCATAAGAAATATAGCAGACACTTGGAGTTTGTGTTGGCCAGATTGCCTGTGCTCAGCTCCGAGGGAGCTACCCTCCTGTAGGGAGATGAAATGATCCTCCCCTTTATAGACTGCATGGGCTGTTACATAACATCTGGCTGTCTGTTACTGACATCGTTGTGAACTGACTTAAGCCAATTTGATCTGTCACAGTTCGTTTTAGTAGAAATTGGAGGTCTCAGCCAGACGTGGTAGCCCACGCCTGTAATCCCAGCACTCTGGGAGGCCAAGGCAAGAGGATCGATTGAGCCCAGGAGTTCAAGGTCAGCCTAGGCAACATAGCAAGACGTTGTCTCTACAAAAAAATAAAAATATCAGCTGGGTGTGGTGCACACACCTGTAGTCCCAGCTACTCAGGTCAGCTGAGCTGAGGAGGTTAAGGCTGCAGTGAGCCATGATAGTGCTACTGCCCTCCAGCCTGGGCAACAGAATGAGACTACAACTCAAAAAGCGAAAAGAAAAGAAATTGGGGTCTCCAATAGGTAGAGACAGATGAGAGCTATAGATAGCCTAAAGCTAGCTACCAGGTGTATATTGCAATGGAAGACACTTTCTACTTTCTTAACATAGTAATTCACAAAGTATGATGTTGGCACAAGGACAGACAAACCCTTGGAACAAAATAAAGAATTCAGAAACAGATCTATGTATACATGGACACTTGGATACTGATAAAGACAGCCTTTCAAATCATTCCTTAATAAATGGGTGTCTGTATGGGAAAAAACAAAAAAGATAACTACCTCACACCTCACAGGAAATCATATCCAAGGAAATTAAAGTGAACGTAAGAGGCAATGTTATAAAAGATTTTACAAGGTAAAATAGGAAAATATCTTTATAATCTCTAGGTGTAGAAGGATTTCTAAAGAAAAGTATACCAAGCATAAAAAGATTGCTGTATCTTACTATATTAAATTTAGGTGCTTCTCTTCATCAGAAGACTTACTGAAAAACATGACTCAGCTGAATCCTGCCACACACGCAAGCATTTATTATCAAGCAGCCTCATAAATAGCCTCTCAAGTGTTTCTGTAAGCTCATTGAAACACCAGCTGTCCATCTAACACTGCTTTGCATGAATGATTCCTCGAAGCAGACACGGCGACACTCTTGTGGCAGGATCAGCTCATTCTCACCAGGTCTTATGGTGAAATCCTCAAGAAGAGGCTGATGCCAGGACTGCTTCAGAATCTTAGACCCAGGGCACCATTCTGAAGAGTGCCATGCTGGGCTCACCAGGTAGTGTTTATGCAAGGGCCAGAGTGACTGAGAATATTTCTATAACATCCCTCATCTCACCAGTAGAAAGAAAAAATCACTTCACTTCTAACAGCTGTTATGCTTATGAGTGAAGACTGTGGTTGATCCAAGGTGACAGTAGCTAAGCCTGTTCTGCCTGACCTTGACTGTTAGCCTCTGTAAGCAGGACTTGTTTTCCCATCTCATGCCTGCATGACCAGCCACATCTGCCCAGGGAGCCAGGATTCCTTCCGAAACAGAACTGAGTTTTGCTGACTAAACAGGACAGTCCCGAGTGTCTCAAAAGCAAAATCGCATCTCTGCCCTGGGTCATATTTTTCTGTTAGCCAGTTCCTCCAGCATGAAAGAGGCCAACATCAAAGCATTCAGCACTGCCTTTTATTAGTAACTTGGCTTCTCATACGGTTTGAGAGTTTGGTTTGGCTTTTACTTCCTAGAAATAGCTCAAAACCAGAAGAGAACTTGGCATCATGGGGCAGTTTCCGTGGCCCTCATTGTCCCATACCATCCTGGTCCATTTGGGGCTCTGCTGTTTCTGCAAGGAGCATCCTGGGAGGCTCTTTCTGGGCAGAGCTAATGACCACTTGGGGGCTTCTGCCCCACCCCCTCCCGGCTCTGCTCCAGCTTGGCCTCAAGGCCGGGTCCAGCCTCTTCCTTGTGCATTCGTTCTGCTAATCCTTTCAACCAGGTTTCCTGGGTATCCCCAGCACCATCCAGGCAGGTAGGGAAGGTGGAAGAGGAACAGCTGCCACACCCCTGCCTTCTGTGGATTTGGGGGAAAGGATTGGCGTCAACCTGCCCTGGGCTTTTAGCCTCCATTTCCCCATCTGAAATGACCAGCCCTCCCAGGCTTCCATAAAATGACACGTGAACACATTTCGGGTGCTATTGAGTGCTGAGTCAGGGAGTGTGGGTGTCACAGTCTGGGGGAGCCACAAGATATCTGTACTGAAGGCAGCCAGGACACGCTGCAGTCTAGCATATAATCAGCTCCGTTGTCATGTGATCAACTGTGAGAGCTGCAGGATTTCAGAGGAAAGAAAGGCCCGTAGGCGGTGGGCCACACAGCAGCTAGTCCTGGCCAGTAGAAAACCACTCACTGCTCTGAACCAGAAAAGGAAGAGGGGTCAGCAACGGGGAGGTGAAGGGATGGCTGCTCTTCCCCCACTGGGACTTTCTGGAAACGATTGGTCCCTTGGGGATTTCCACAGAGCAAGAGCTACTTAAGGGCCAATTTAGAAATCAGTTATCAGACTGGGCAACATAGCAAGACCTCGAGTTTACAAACAATCCAGAGGATCACCTGAACCCGGGAGGTCGAGGCTGTGGTGAGCCATGATTGTGTCACTGCTCTCCAGCCTGGGTGACAGAGTGAGACCCTGACTCAAAAACATAAATAAGTAAACAATGAGACTTTTATGTGTCAGCATCCTCCACACCTGCAGAGGGATGGAAGAGGAGGGAGTGACCAGAGAAGGTGCACTGCTGACCTGTCCACCCCACTCATACTGTGTTTTTCCACTTCTGACCTGGGCAGGTCACATCTCGGGGGGATCTGGTTTCAAGTTAGAGCCTGCCTCAAAAGTCGGGGAGAGGCAGCAGTGTAAGTGTCTACGGAGCTATGAATGATAAGCAAAATGTGGTAGATATGCACCATGGAATATTACTCAGCCTTTAAAAGGAAGGAAATCTTTACACAAGGCAGATGCAGCAATACTCTAGTGGCAGGATCAGCTCATCCTCACCCGGGCCTGATGGTTTAATCCTCAAGAAGAGACTGACCCCAGGGCTGCTGCAGAATCCTAGATCCTGTGCAACATTCTGAAGGATGTGCCAGGCTGGGGTCACCAGTCCTGTTCATGCAAGGGCCAGAGGGGCTGAGAATATTTCTAGAACACGCCTCATTTCCCCCATAGGAAAAAAATCATTTCTAGCACAGATAAACCTTGCTTGGTCGAGCAGGCCAGACACAGAAGGACGACTCCTGTGAGAGTCACTTCTGTGAGCTGCCTGGAATAGTCCCTTCCCAGAGACAGAAGGGAGGGGAGTGGTGGTTGCTATGTGGGGAGGGGGAAGAGGGGGCAGGCGGGTTGTTGTCTAAGGGTATAGAGTCTCAGTTTTACAAGATGAAAAGAGTTCTGTGGGTGAATGGTGGTGATGCTTGTATAAAATGAGAATGCCACTGAACTGTACGTTTAAATGGTCCAGATGGTAAGTTTTATACTGTGTGGATTTTACCACAATTAAAAATTTTTTTAGACTGGGCATGGTGACTCACTACTATAATCTAGCACTTTGGAAAGCTGAGGCAGGAGGATTGCTTGAGCCCAGGTGTTTGAGACCAGCCTTGACAACACAGTGAGACCTAATCTCTACAAAAATAAAAAAAAATTAGCCAGGCATGGTGGCATGTGCCCGTAGTCCCAGCTACTCAAGAGGCTGAGGCAGGAGTTTGAGGCTATGGTGAGCCATGGTTGTGCCACTGCACTCCAGCCTGGACAACAACACGACAGGCTCCAACTCAAAAAAAACCACAAAACTTATTTTAATAGGGGGAATTATCAGGTAAGGTCAAAATACCCCTGAAGCCCTGTAAATGGTGCCTGATTGGAAACCTCTGTCAGTTCATCTGAGCCCACTACTGCTGCAGGGTTTGCACATCACTGTGGGGGTGGGGTGGTGAGCTTTTAAGGGCTGCTAATATAGAAAATACAAGACACATCTCTTCTACCCCAGGCTCCACCCTTGGGCTCAACATGGTGAGAAGGCACATGAGAGCCCCAAGAGACTATAGCCTTCTAGGAGAGAACAGAGTCCTGCCCACTGCACAGTGTGCACGCTAGGTTGGCGCAGCTGGCAGAGGCCCCGGGCAGCTCATGCATGGGCACGTGCACTCTCCCCACGGGGCTTCGTAATACAATGTGTCCATGAGCTGACTCTACCATGCTCAGATCTGCATCCCCATCACCCGGTCCAGAGGGGGCTGCAGTAAGTATTTGTTAAACAAGGAACCATGACTGAGTTTCAAATCCTTTATTTTTATTAATTGTTTTGAGTCGGGGTCTCAATCTGTCACCCAGACTGGAGTGCAGTGGCCTGATCATAGCTACTGCAGCCTTGACCTGCTGGACTCAGGCAATCCTTCTACCTCAGCCTCCCGGGTAGCTGGGACTACAGGAGCACACCACTATGCCTAATTTTTTTATTTATTGTAGAGACGAAATCTCACCATGTTGCCCAGGCTAGTCTTGAACTCCTGAACTCAGGCAATCCTCTCACTTTAAGCTCTCAAAATGCTGAGATTACAGGCGTGAGCCACCGCACCAAGCCTTGAAGCCTTTAATGAGCAGATGTACCCTGCACTTTTCCTATATTAAGCACAGAAGCCAGTGCAGGACTGGGCACAGAGAAAATGCCTGTGAAATCATTGACTGAATACCAGTTGGTATATTAACCAACACAGATGTCTAATCCCACCTTGAACCCTCCACCCACCTCCTTGCCCAGCCCATCCACAGACACACTTGAGACCTATGGGCTGCTGTGGCAGACTCACATGGAATTGGCCATGGGGGGATCCCAGATGATTCAGCTCCTTATTCACATCTATTCAAATCAGCACACAGTTGCTTCACTTTAAGGCTTCACCCTGTGAGTTAAGATATATATGTAAGCAATGCCCAGTGCAGTGGTTCACACCTGTAATCCCAGCACTTTGGGAAGCAGAGGCAAGAGGATTGCCTGAGCCCAGGGGTTCAAGACCAGCCTGGGCAACTTGGTGAGACCTCATCTCTACAATAAGTCAAAAAACTACCCGGGCGTGGTGGTATGTGCCTGTGGTTCCAGCTACTTGGAAGGCTGAGGTGGAAGGATCACCTGAGCCCAGCAGGTCGAGGCTGCGGTGTGCCAGTGCACTCCAACCTGGGCAACAGAGTGAGACCCTGACCCCCCCCCAACAGCTAAATGCTCGCCAGTAGACAGCTAGTTGATTACAGTATGACCCATCTATACGGACACCCAGTATCCAGTGTTTGTGGTGTTTTAGGCAGATAATGAAATGGCGTGGATTGACAACTCGTTGTTGTGAAAGCCTCAGTTTACAAAATAGTGCATATGATATGGTCTTATTTTGTCTGAATATGTACATATCCCTTGTCCAAATATGCCTGTAATATATATGCATGTATATATACATGCGTGTGTGTGTGTGTGTGTGTGTGTGTGTGTGCGCGTGTGTGTGTGTGTGTTCCCCAGACCAACTGCATCAGCATCACCAGGAAGCATTTTAGAAATGCACGTTCTCAGGCCCCTCCACAGACCTGCAGAATCAGACACTCAAGGTGGGCCCCACGGTCCATGTGTCGGCCCGCCTACAGGAGGTCTGGGGCCTGCTGACTGGCGTCCAGGCGCCCCTTCCTTCCTGGCTCACCTGGTCTCTCCTCCAGGCTCTGATCCAGCTGCCCCCCTACATCTCCCAGTGTGATGAGGTGCTGCAGTTCTTCGAGACAAGACCTGAGGACCTGAACCCTCCCAAAGAGTAAGTCCATCTGTGGGCTTCCTCAGATGGTGCCCGCGGCCCTCCCCCACCCTGCAGTCCAGCACCCCAAAGCAAAGCAGAGTAAGCTGAGTGCAGTGGTTCACATTTATAATCCCAGCACCTTGGGAGATCGTGCAGGAGCATCACCTGCACCCAGGAGTTTGAGATCATCCTGGGCAATGTAGGGAGGCCTCATCTCTATAAAAAAATCAAAACAAAAAACACTTAGCCAGTGGTGGTGCATGACTGTAGTCTCAGCAACTCAGGAGGCTGAGGTAGAAAGATGACTTGAGCCCAGGAGGTCGAGGCTGTGGTGACCTAGGATCACGCCACTGCGCTCCAGCCTAGATGATGGAGCAAGGCCCTGACTCTCAAAAAAAGGAAAAAATATGGTGATACTTATTTTTCTTTTCCAGAAAAGGATTTTTTTTTATTCAAGTAACTGCAAATAGGAAACCAGAGGGGAAGCCCCAGGCTGGGACACATAATGGCTACCCCCTCCCCAACAGAACAAGGGGAGAAGGTGGCCCCTTAAACCCTTTGTGGTCAGCTCGGGCCCCCCTCCTCACTCTGCTGCAGCATCCTAGGGGCAGAACCCCACCTTCCCTGGGACTGGGGGAACCCAGCCTGCCACGCCCCAGCCCCCCTTCCCCAGAAGAGTATCTTGGGGGAGGGGAACGGGCAGAACAGGAGGTGATGAGGATGAACATTTGGCGCTGGTAGCAGCAGCAATGACAGATGTCAAAGAATGGAACATGGAACAAAAAACAACACAACTGTCCGGAGGTAGTTTGTGAACAGAGGAAAGATGGAACCAGAACCTTGGGGGGTAGGGAGGAACGGGAGGGTCGGGGGGGCAGGGCTTGCTCCTGGGTATTAGGGCCCCTTCTGACAGGGAACAGCTGGGTGCTGGAAGCAGGCGGGGTGGGGCGAGTTACCCCAGCCCACCTCCGTGGCTGCCACAGGGAACCTGGGCCTCACCTGGACAGTAGGTTACTCTGCATCTCCATCTGCAATATAGTCTCAGATCCCAGGCTGAGGGCAAAGGGGCAGGGGCTCGAACCCCTCCTGCCTTCATAGTAAGGGGACAAGGGAAGGTGGGGAAGGAAAATGGGTGTGAGCCCCACGTGGTGACAAAGACACAGGCTGGCTGGGGGCATCCTGGGGGTCAAGCACCCCCCTCCATTGGCCACACCCGCTGCTGCCCGGACAGTGGAGTGGGGCATGCCAGAATGAGATGGGGCATGGGCCCCTTTTAAGGCCAGGGGAGCCCTCCCGGGCCCCTCGATGGGAAGCCAGAGGGAATAGGGGAGGAGCAGAGAGGGAACCCCCAAACCGAAAGCCCAGAAAGCAATGTCCCCACCTGGAGCGGGGACACAGCAGGTGGAGGGAGCGGCCACGTGGGACGTTAGCCTTGTCCAGGAGAGCAGGTGTGTATACCTGAGTGGGGGGGGGGGAACTGAGGCCAGAGGAAAACTACTCCCAACTGGGCCCACAGGGGCCCTGCAGCGGCTGGTATGCTGTGTAGTGTGTGGTGAGGGCACAGGTGGGGAGGGAGGCCTGACACTTTAGTCCTCATCCTTAGTCCCATGCATTTTAACACCCCTTGCTGAGCACCCCCTCTCGCTTTGTGTCTTTCAGTGGAAACATCTACTCAGCGTTGCTGCATGGTGTGCGCCATCATAGAGGAGTCCGTGGCTGCGATCGGTTTCCTTGACGAATGATTT